AAATTTCTAAAATATGTAATCTGAGAGATGAGACTATTTCGGAAGGAAGAATTTGTGACTATGCATTACCAAAGTAAACAACGTAGCTCAAAGTATAAGCTAGCACAAGAGAAAGCAAATTTAAGTGAGGTGAAGTGACTATCTACTGTATTGTTCAAGTGTTTGAAAGTTGGATAAAACTACACAAGAACAGCTTGGTAAGACTTTTTCTCATTTCTAAATCATCCTAAGACATTTTTTAACCGTTTTGTAGTCATTTTTATGTGAAACGTTTAGTGATGGAACTCAGTTCCTGCCTCTAGACTTCCTAGGTTAGTTCCACGTTAGCAGGTTTTTCGTCCTTTTCCACCTAAAAATGATGGAATATTCCTTTAACTCCCTCCACCCGTTTTCACCATTTTCACCATTTCCCTCTCCCGTGGTCTTACCGGTCCTGTGGGAGCTGGTGGGTGACGTGTCCAAGCTGTTGGCTACAGCTTTTTCTTTCTGCTTGAAGAACTCTCGCGGGTTGCTTGTGCGTTGGGCGATTATGGCCGCTGCTTCCTGTCGACACAAATTTTCTCCTTCGTCATCATCTGAGCAAATACTTCCAAAGTAAAGTTTAAAAACAATAATCCTGGTATCTGCAGAACTTCCCAGACAGAGGACATAAAATAATAATACTATGGTATAGGTATAAAATTGCAAAGCTGGCAGATATATGTGTACGAATGTCATCACACTGAGATTATAACATAGTGTAGTATCTTGAAATTTGTGTGTGTGTACCAGTATAAATTCTGTATAAAGTATTTCTGCCTATTTATTATTATTTGCATATTTTTGGACATATTTAAAATAAAATCTTAAATAAACTAATTTTAACATGTAATAGAAAAATGTATAATACAGAACAATATCGAATTTAATAATTTTGCTGTCTGTACCTGCTGTAAAGGTGTTATATTTAAAATTTAACTGCTTCCATTATGCTTTTATACTCATGCTATAACAATAACAATACACAATCAACAAATATAGAGAAAATAAAGAAAAAAATGTCTTTGGATTAGCTTAATGATCCAAACCAGATGCTCAAATCCACAGAAAAATGATTCAATGACCACAAAGTACGAAATAGAGGGGTACCAATAATTGTGTCAATAAATGATTTTTAAAAAAATCAGATAATTTTAAAAATATTTTCTTAAAATAAATTTCATAGAATAAATTTACTCCCATTAAAAGTTGGATTTCTATCATTATTTTCAGCATGACTTTAAGCAAATGAACCACAAAGACATTTTTTCATAACCTTTACCAAGGGTGCCAATAATTCTACATCTGACTGTCGCTACCATATAGTACATTTTCATGTGTTGATTATTCAAAGTGTATCGTGACATTATTTAAGGTTAACGGTATGTTAGGTGTGTGTTAGCAGTATGTTAGGAGCTATTTCCACAACAGTTGCCTCATATTGTTAAAAAAAAAACAAAAAACCAGCCAATACCAGAGTGCTATTTCCGCACGCTGTCCTAGTCCCAAAACAGTACGAGGAATCCCACTGACCCATATACAAAGCCCAGAAGAATTTCTGACGCAACAACACAATTTGACCTACATCTAAGCTAGATTTACGTCTCACGGCTCGTACTCGACAAGGGCTTGCCCAGAATTTGTATACAGGAGGTGATTTTTTTTTTTTTTTAACTTAAAGGTTGTGATGATTTTAGGGGCTCTGGAATGAACAGATCAACTAACCTCGACCTCTGACTCCTTTTTGTCTTGGGAGAGGTCCTCACAACTGGGCTCTGTCTGAAGAAACAAGAAAAAGTGCTGTAGTTTGCAGCAGGGGGCAGCAAAGTGTAGTTTTTCCTCAAGGTGTCATTGGATTGTTGAATTGTTTAACCACCAATTCTTCTATTGGTGCAAACATGTTGTACTTTTGCTAAATCTGGAAATATGTCATGTCTTGGGTGTAGACCTGTGACTATAAAGTTTTATTTATTTATCTGAAAATTACAATCTCTTTTCAACATGTATTCAACATGCATATGCGAGTATGCAAATCATACACACACTTACTATCAAGGGCTGAGGTCGTGACCTCTCTTTGGCCTCCTCTTCTTCTTGCAATTTCTTCCTGTGAAAAGAACACAAAACGATGTTTTCGGTGAGAGAAAATGCACAAATGAATGGCTCAAGATGTCTGGAGTGTGCTCCAGAGTGCTTGCCTGTGTTCCTCAATCTGCCTCTCCCTCTCACGGTATCTCTTCTCTCTCTCCTCCTGCTCCTTTCTCTCCAGCTCCATCCGCTCCTCTTCAAAGCGTTGCCGCTCTTCTGCTGCTTTCTTTCTTTCCTCCTCCTTCCTCAACTCTTCTTCCCGCTGTTAGAGAGGTTGAAAATGCAAAAGTGAAGAACTGTCCTGACTACTATAACCATGTGGCTGTGATATCATCTATGTTGAAAAAAGAGCAGGAGTGAGCGACAGAGGCCAAAGGATGACTTTAAGGTAATGTACAATCGTCCAGGAGAAAGATAACTGTATGCGGTGGAGGGCCAGTGCGTTAATCTGTCAGGGAGGCCAAAATTTCCATCCCGGAATGTGCATAAAAACACAAGTAAACATCGCAGAATTAAGAACTAACCAGGAATCAGATTTGCCGTTGACCTCAGGGGAAAAACTGTACTCTCTTCTTTAAATATCTTATAATCAGTGCAGATCAAAAATATAGGCCAGCAATCTGGGCGTTTTTCCCAAGCCACATTTGAATTCTAAGCCTCCAGAACCAATTATTGATAATTATCTTATGAGGCCAAAACGTGGCTCTTAAAGCCTGCAGACATGCACTTTAAAATGACAAATAGTTCCTCACTCACATCTGCATTAGTGCTAAAGCTAGGACAAAAAAGTTCAGGAACAGTGGGCTAGCACAGGTCGTGCTGATTCACGTCTCGGCTTTAAAGAGTCCTTCCTCAGATCAATCTTCCTCATGAGCGCAGCTGTGGAAGCAGAATCTGATCTCTACCTTGGCTTGTTCCCAGAACTCTTCCCGGTTGATCCTCTTCATCTCGATTTCGGCGTTCGTTTTCTGGTAGGTGGTGCCCTGTGGGAGGAGAGAAAACAAAAAAGGAGAAAATGTAAGCTAATTGGAAACATGCTTAAAGATGGAGGTGATGTTTCAAGTGAGGCGCCATGGGGACAGTTTATTCCGTTGTACAAAGAGTGCAAAGAGTCTGAACACGTATTACAATTAAATATTTAGTAAAGCACTAACATCAGAATAGATTCAGTGGAAATGCTATTGCACAAGCTGAAGCTACTTTATCTCTGTTTACTGTGTGATGAGAGCTACGCTGTCTGTGTTTATTCATTAAGTGGTTAAATGAAGAACGAAGCTGCCACAGGGATGGAGGTCATGCTGATCTGTGAGATAAACATGCGGAAAGAGCTGGACAGCTTTAGAAGTGTGTATGAGTCACTGCCTGCTTTGGCCATGCACAGAGAAGAGCATTGTTTCATTTCCCCCCTGCTCTAAAAATGTGGTTAGTAAGAAAATGCTTAAGCACTTCGCTCTGAAACTGAACACACTTATAGATATACAAGAGCACACACATACACATACACACACACACAAACACACAAAGGATTCCCTTCCACCCCACGTCACGTACAACATGCTCAGCATTCTCCTCGTCTCTCATTCGCAGGCGGCTGAGCACCGGGCTAGCACTCGGCCCCGTCCCATTGGTCAATCTCTGCCCGATGGCTGAGGGGTCGATATCGTCCATGCTGCTGGCATTGATGATGACATCAACTCCCTGGAGTGAAAGAAATAGAGAAAGAAAAGAGACAGAAAGGAATAAAAAACATCAACACAATTCCTGCCAAAGCATGTAACCCTCAGGCCATCCTGTACTGAATAGCAAGGACTCTGTACGTGCATATATGTGTGTGTGTGTGTGTGTGTGTGTGTGAGTGTTTGTGTGTGTATGGCACAGTGGGATTGTGGCAGTGTGTTAATGCTACAGAAAGGACTTCAAAGTATCCGTGGGAGGATGAAAGGGAAAAATAGGTGAATTCAGAGGAACCTCTCTGAATAAAAATGCCGTGGATGTCCAGTGTGTAGGAAAGCAGATAAAGCAGCTCATTTGCAGAACAAAGCCACAGTTCAGTGTGAGGAGAAAGATGGATATTTACATAGTACATGTGATATCTCTGTCATCAATACTGTCATCATAATTATCTGTTATCATCCTTATTGTTCTGTTAGAATAGACCACATAATTTGTTTTTCAGTTATTTTCTCTTACTGTATTTATTCAGTGTACTATAACGCATTTACATTTTTCCTCATCAATCTGCAAAGAATACACCATAATAAAAACGAATAAACAATGCAAAGTAAATTTGGAAAGTTATTAAACAATGAAAAAAAGAAAAGTCACAATTACAAAAGTATTCAAACCCTTTACTTAGTACGCTGGTGAAGCTTCTTGGCAGTGTTTACAGCCGTAGGTCTTCTTGTGTATGATGCTACAAGCTCGGTTCACATGGATTTGAGGATCCGCTTCCATTTCTCTCTGCAGAACCTCTCAGGGTCTATCAAATTGGATTGGGAAAGTTGCTCTATAGCTATTTTCAGTTCTGAGGTCTTGTGTGCTCTTGAGCAGGTTTTCCTCAACAATGTTCTTGTACTATGATCACGTTCCCTCAAATCTGACAAGTTTCCCATGCCCTGATGCTGAAAAACATCCCCACATCATGATGCTACCACCACCATGCTTCACTGTAGGGATGGAACTGTCCAGATGATGAGTGGTACCTGTTTTTTTTTTTCTTCAGATATAACGCTTAGCAATCAGGACAAAATGTAAAATTTGTTTTTCTTCAGAATCATAGAATGCTGTGCCTTATGTCCTCAGAGCCTTTAATGTGTTTTCTGGAAAACTCCAGTGGGACCATAATTTTACAGCTGAAGGTTAAGGGTCTTGCTGAAAGACTCAACAGTGGCAGTTTAGTGAGGCTGGGATTTGAACTCACAAGCTTCTGATCACTAGCCCAATGCCTTAACCACAGAGCCACCCCCAGGACAACCTTACAGAGAGAGGGGTGATGGGATTGCTTGGGAAGGCCTGCGCGATCAGCCTCCATCCCAAGAGATCTTTCCAATATGTTTTAGTAGACTGCTAGACGCTACTGGAAATTTGACTGGAACCAGGTTCTCTGGTCAGAGAACACAAACATAGAGCTTTATGGCAACTAAAGTTTGGTTTGCCATAAAAAGAAGGATGGTTAAGCAAAAAAAAGAAGCTAATTCCCATACTTAATATGGAGTGTTTGTGATGTTGTGTCTGTTTTAACTCCAGGCAAGGCACCAAGAACCTACATGGGATCACTGACTCCATGAAGCAGAAGGATTTTTTAAATGAAAATCTGGCTGCTTCTGCCAGCTCAGTCATTGTTGAATTTTCCAGCAGGGCAATGATACAAAACAAATCCACACAGAAATGATTCAATGACCATAGAATCAAGCTTTTGACACGGCTGAAGAGGAGAGTCCACAAGAGAGGACCTAGGTCTCTGGAGGATTTCTCCCACATCCAGGTTGATGAGACGGAGCATAGAAAAGGCAGCACCTGTCATTCAGCACTCTACAACCAACACACACCTCCACTATAAACACTGTGCAGAAAACCACATTAGTCATCTGCAGACATCATCCTCTTCCTACTACTGGCTGTTATATACAGTAGTCTCCTCCTTGCGCAGACACACTTTGATGACCACCCACGGATTCTATGAATTTTCTCATCTGAACAAGCACAGCTTGGACGTGTGATAGATGGCTGAGGAATAATGGACTCATGAAGATGCAACACAGGCAAAAGTAGGAGCTGTTATGTCACAGGCTGTAATTTCAGAAGACATGGCATGCCACAAAGACGGCTGATGACATTAAGAGGAACAAAACAAAACAGGGTTAGAGATTTAAGGTGTAAAAGTTAAAGGTGCAGTGTGTACTGTTTAAAGGTCTTCACAGACTGATAATATTAATTTGATTTCATAGAACATATGAATGAAGTGCACCCCAATTTCCCAGTCACTGAATAATTTTGGGGCTTGGTGACAAGGACAGGGCTGAGAAACAGCCAATGGGAGTCTGAGAACAAATCAAATTAATCTGCTGTCACACGCATCATATCTCTGAATCCAGTTTATCATCTGTCTGTTTGCGTGGGAGAGCGAGGACAAAATTTCTCCATAATAATAATACTTCTATAAGAAATTATTATTTGGCACGTCAAACCCAAATGGTTGCTAGGAACAGCAAAAATAAAAACAAACACGGCATGATTCCTGGCGGAGTACAGTATAAAAAAACTTTTTAACATCATATCTACAGTTCTCTTTGCAGAACAGACCGCGTCTCCATATTTTTCTCTTATTGCACTCAGGATAAGGCATCTGTTTACATTTTTATGGACCAGAAGTTAGCCCTGCCTCCAGTTGGAACAACTGCTACTTTTTGTCAAAAGGTGACTGAAAAGGCATAAACAGCTGATTTGTTGGGAAGGGTGCTTATCAGTGTTTTCACAGCAATTCACTTTCGTGAAGTGAAGAGGGCTTTAAAATTTACAAACTGCTCCTTTAAGTACTGTATAATCATGTACTTCACATACACATGGCATGACGTTACCTGTGTCAGAGATAGAAAAGAGGTTACTTTACCTTAGTGAGACCCACCTGGAAAAACTCCGCGATGGTGGCTACATGGCTGGCACAGGCACATTTCCTGGCATCAGGGACATCCTCCCCAACCTGAACATACATCATAATTATTGTCATTAAAAACACAGGAAGCCAATCCTCAGGGATCACAATCACACCCTCAAGCAGCTTCATAAAAGTGAGGAAAATTACTGACGAACATCACAGGCAGCAGATTGGAGCTCTCAAAGGGCCTTTTTTTTAAACCACCCACAGCCTTAACAAAACCCTGAGATGAATACCGTTCTCTCAATTCAGTCGTTAAGCGAGGTTGCTCATTTTCACCAAGCGAAATGTAACAATTCACCTGGAGTGCATTGAGAGTGTTATATTTATATTGTGGGTCTTTAACAATATGATCAGTGCCCATTCAAAAGGAACATTACTCATGCAATACAAACTGATTACAGTGGCATACAGAGAGAACTCTCCTAATGACTATAATAAATGTGGGGGAAAATACCGTGCTCAGCATGCCAGATTTAAAAACTACGGCAGTTCACGGGACACGGTGGGCTGAAATGATGCTTATTCCTCTCCTGCTTGTGCTTATAAAACACGCAGGCACTTAAAATGAGCCATCAGCCGAGGGCAACAGAACACTGACACGTTCTCTGAAGAACAGACCCGCTCAGCAGCTACACTTTGCTTTCCAGAGGCCTGACTCACCCAGTTGATGAGGATGTAGCGAGGCAGGGCGGCCGTCGGCTCCTTCAGGCTGCAGAAGCCATACATGATGCGGCTGTTATCGAAGGTGACCATGATTTCAGCCAGGCCACCGTCTGTGATTCAAGGGCAGAAAGAAAGACGTGAACTCACGAAAAGACTTAATTCTTTTAAAGTCTAAATGCAATCATGCTGCTGGAAAATAATACGAGTCAGCTGCTCTATCCTAGTGATAACACTAATGTGATGTCTTTTGCATAATGAAAATATTATTAGTTCTAATTAGAGCTGCACGATTAATCAGATTTTAATTGTGATTAAGATTTTAGCTTCCTCAATTAATTAAACAGAGATATCGGTGCACTTAGCTAAAGTTAGCTAATTGGATAATGGTAGATGTTATTTTTAATTGATGAATTAAATCACAAGCTATCCATTTATTAGATTAGAGATAGCTTGTGATTTATTAGAGAGTAGTACCATGGTACATTTACCCTGTTAACAGAGACAGCACTGATCTGATACCCAGTATCGGTATCGAGCTAATACCAAAAAAAAAAAAAAGAAAAGAAAAGGTAAAAAAAAATGGTAGATCTGTTAGAGAAATCTGAGATAAAAGAAATAAAGATTGGAATTGGATTATTAATATTATTTTTATAACTGAATAATGTTTACATATAAAGAGATTTGACTGGTTTTTCTTTTGCTAAGATTGATTTTATTATATTTAGAATGTTAGTGATTTTTGTCTGAAAGAGTTTGACTGTGGAGTGCTTCAGTTAAAAATCATTTTTATGCTTGGTAGTTTTTAAAACAATTAGATCAAAACAGTTTCAGTATCGGTATCAGGAAAAAAAAGTGGTATTGTGCCATTTCTATCTGTCACATTTACTTTAGTCATTTTTTAAATAATTTGTACTTGTGAGAGTAGTTTTAATGGGGAGGATTTTGCACTTTAAGCTTCATACTTTAGGCTTTGTTTGTCCAGCTGTAAATTTTCTAGACTCGCATTCATTTGGGATGAGTGTATTCATGTGTATTCAGAATTGAGTTAGCATGCATAGTGAGGCATTAATACAGAATTTTTCACAACAGTATTCAGAACTAAGACATAACTATTGTGTCATGAACATGGCAGTTGGACGAACTCCATGGATGAACATGTTAAGCGACAAGACCTGTGATTGGAGCATTGATATGTCACAGCAAAAACAAAACCATGATCATAAGTTTGCGAATGTTTTGGCTCCTCACAACCCTCACCAACTTTGTTTTGTTGATAGCATACCAAGGTTTCTAACATGTAACATGTTATTTTCATGCATGCAGCAGAGTTTTATTAAAACGGCCCATGTCCGAGGCCTGTCTCAGTTACACGAGATTCTGAGCCAATTTTTCTTGCACCACTGTCTGACAATTTGTCGTAAGCACAATATGTCACCCTGAAACACATTTTGGACAATGCAAATATACTTTAAACTTTGTAGAAAAAAATGTGCTTTTAAAAGCATGGCATAAATAAGAGAAATAAAGTACATTAAATTTGCAGATGCAAAAATAAAACTGTACTGCTGGTCCATTGTTCTCATTCACCCCATGTATTCCTAACTTAAACCTGATATACAATGATGATTTGCAATAAACGTATTTGCAATAAACAAACCAAAATAGAAAAAATCAAGGTTTTCATTTGACTCGCACATTATGATTTCACGAACTGAATTTTGTATCTCATTCTCATATTAAGCTGTGCGTCCAGTTTACAACGTCAGCATACTAACTAACTAAATAACTAACTAACTAAATAAATAAATAATTGTTTTTCATGACCTGTTCTGTCTCTTCTGCATTTCTGCATTCACACTTTCTGACACTGACGGTACATGATATCAGGCTACTTAGACTACAGGCTGCAAAAACAGGATGTGCTGCATCAAGTGCTATTTTATAGGCTGTCAGAAATGTGCAATGATCACGTGAAACCTTTTCCTACTTCTCATTTGTTTATTGACAGCAAAGAGGAAAAAAAATGCAATCTGTTCTGTCAGTTTGCATTTTCTATTCCCTAATTTTTTATGTGCTTAAAGGAATGTAGAAGACAAATTCAGGATGCTTGATTACAAATCTAAAACATTAAAGCTGATCATTCTCATGATTTAAGAAAGGTGCACAGCTGTCACTTTCTGTAGTTTATGCGATGCAAACGAGTGCTACTGCTTTAATTAGAGATCTTGAATAATATAACTTAATAGACGAGTTCATATATTTAAATCATTTGAGTACTACAAATTCGAGTGCACATTGACAGCTAACTGCTAACATCACCAAGCTAGTAAGAGAAGAATGGATGGCATGTCATTGGTATGATGTAATACATATTTTAATACCCGAGTTAAAATCATTTTTCATCATATTTATTAATATTGAGTAATTTGAGCTTATCACAATCATCATTACAACAGCTTACTCATAAAGTGAATGTGATTCTGTGCAATTAGTAACAAGGTTCTTCAGTAAATCTTTACTAAACATATTCTTACTGATGACTTCTTTTACTTTCCCTTTTACGTTTTTGGCTACTTCTATTCAGATTTCAGTTTGATAATTTGGTTTGATTGATTTTGGTTTAATTCAATTTGGTTTGAGAGAACCA